CCCATCGATACCTAGTTTTTCTTGGCTGACTTATCATAACAAAATTCTTACACGCGACAGTAAACATAAGCCGGTTGACGGTCCCTCTTGTTTGCTTTGTAATGATATGGAATCGGGTCAGCATTTGTTTTTTGATTGTGTTGTGGCAAAAGAGATATGAAAAGTTGTCGCGGAAGCTTTAAATTTTCAAAAGTCTTGTAACTTGCATGATCTGTCTATGTCATGGAACAATGACAATAAGAAATCAGTGGTCGGTATCTCTTGTATAGTTGTTCTCTGAACCTTATGGGACACTCGGAATAATCTGTGTTTTCAGGGCACGGTTTGGGCAAGTGTCAAGCATCTATTGGGGAAAGCAAGCACTCTAATTCTTACTCAAACTCGATCTCAAGCGCTGTGGACAGTCATGCTGGCATTTTGCAGCCTCGTTTCATAAAAGTGAGGTGGGGGAAAACTCTTATATTAAAAAAAAAAGAGGATATGTGTGGTCCGACTGTAGATGCTCTTGGTTGCTTGTTTGATCACATTGGGTTCGGTATAGCAGGGAACAGAAATGCAGCGTGTTGGAGCTGTGCTCGGATTCGGACTGTCAAGAGACCGCGTCGCCGCGTTGCGTCGAGGGGGAGTTGGACCTCCTATACCTCGAAGCAACGAAAAGAAAAGAAGGGAACTCTTCCCTCCTATACTATAGCGGGTAGGAGTCGGACCCGATCGAGTCGGCGGAACAAATGCCCTGGAACTATATATACATACTACATACACATAGCGCATAGCGTTACAGACGCCAGCCCCCTCCCCCCTCCCACACCACCAACGCCGTACCTAGCGCACAATCAACAATCCATCTTCCGTCCCTACTCCCGGCGATCGAGATGATGCAGTACGCCATGGATCCCTACGCGGGCGCCTTTGCTCGACCTCCGCCAACCGGCTTCTTAGGCGTCGGATCCTGTGCTCGGGCCGCCAACAGGCCTGCTCGTCGACCACCGCCTCCAGGCTTGTTCGGCATCGGATCTTGCTTCCGCCCGGCTGCCGACGTGCCAGCTCGTCGACCTCCGCCTCCCGGTTTCTTCGGTGCACGCCGTCCCAGGGTGCTCCCGCCAGCGCCGTGCGAGGTACCCATGCCACCAAAGTTCTCAAAGCCCACGGCGCCGGCACCAGCGCCGGTTTCCTGCGTCGCCGCCGCCTCCACAAAGCTTCAGCGGCTGTGCCCTGACTACGCAGACGACATCGACCACAACCTCCGGTTGACAGAGAAGAACGCCGATGAGCGGCCGCTACCGGACTACCTGACGAAGGTGCAGCAGGATCGGGTGACCGAGTCAGCGCGCGCCTCCCTCGTCGGATGGATGGACAAGTTCGCCCGAGACCATGATCTCGCCGACGGCACGCTCCACCACGCCGTCGCCTACGTCGACCGGGTCCTGTCGGTGCGAGCCTTGACGACTGACAGTGGCTACGAGCTACGACTCCTGGGTGCCGCGGCCGTCTTTGTCGCCGCCAAATACGAGGACCGGAAAGCCGTGTGGAAGCTGAAGGCCGACCAGATCGCCAGGTACGGCGAGTTCGCCGCGGGCAAGGAGGTGCTCGACATGGAGCGCGAGATGGTGGAGGCGCTCGGGTACCAACTCGGCGGCCCCACGGCGCACACCTTCCTGGGCCACTTCATGAGGTACGCCGAGGGGGAGGACAAGACCAGGATCCTGCCATTGGCGACTCGCCTCGTTGATCACTCTCTGCTCAACTACACGTGCCTCCGCATCTTGCCGTCCGTCGTGGCGGCGTCCGCGATCTTCCTCGCGAGGCGGACCCTGAATCCGCCCGACGTCCTCGCGTGGAACACGGAGCTGACGGAGCTGACGGGTTACAACTGCTCGGACATGACAGCCTGCGTGCTTAATATGTTCTTCTTCTCGCGCTCGCTCATCTGTAGCCCTCCTTCTTGATCATCGAGGAGACTCACCAAGACAGAGCAGTTTTGTTACATATATCAATTGTATAATCTTGTGGAAGTTCGTTGTAATGTTCATGTATACCTGTCTGAAATTAATATGCATGTATCGTCTGTGTTTGGCATGCATGCGTGAACTTGTGATGAACACATTGTCATGGCTTTTGATTGCTGGTTCTTTTTTCCTCCAAAAATCTCAACCAATTAAACATCTAGCATTTCACCACACTATTGCAAAAAAAATAGATGATTTTCTTTGAGGGAAGGCCATCATGGTAGCTTTTGTTTATTTTCTGAAACGGGCAATTTTTTGCCTCATCCATTAATTAATCAGAAGAAAAAAAACTATTAAATTACATTGTTTTCAGACATGCACACCCATTTAATTACATAAAAACCAGAACAACAAGGATCAAACCCACACTGAACACCGGAACACATAGTGTGTAGCCCACTCAGCCGACGGCATGCCAAACACAACCTGTTCATAAAATGAGGAAGAGACAAGCACGTGAATGTAGAAACTGGGAGGCCGTGCTAGCGCGACGTGGCATCCAGGCACGGAGCCACGCCATCACATTGGCTGAGATGCTGCATCTTTTTGAGCAGAAGCCTCGTAGAAGAAAAGCAGCCGCAGAAGCTCTCACTGACACCGTAGACCGGAGCGGCCCACATATCAGTAAGCACTTGTCCAGCGTCCGGCTTCACTCAGAGGTACCATGCGAAAACTATGTTGCTGGAGTAAGGAAAAGTTTGGTAATGTTGCTCGGGAAATTGAGAAATCTCGCACCCAACTAGAAGAGTTAATGTTGATGAATGCAGATAGATGTGAGATTCGTAGACTTACAGATAGGATGAATGAGTTGCTCTATAGGGAGGAGCTCATGTGGATGCAACGCTCGTGGATTATGTGGCTTAAAGATGGCGACCGTAACACTAAATTTTTCAGTCTAAATCTGTCTGGCGGGCAAGGAAAAACAGGATAAAAAAGTTGGAAGATGTGAATGGTAATATTACTGCTGATAATGGCGAGATGGGACGCATAGCAACAAAATATTTTCAGCATATTTACACTAAGGATAATACTTTGGACGCCTCGCCTATTGTGGATCTAATTGCTCCTGTGATTGATGATGCCACTAATGTTGCCTTGTGTGCTGAATTTTCTGATAAAGGGATCTCAGACGCTTTATTCCAGGTTGGCCCATTGAAGGCCCCTGGTCCTGACGGCTTCCCGGCACAATTCTTCCAGCGTAATTGGGGAACTGTAAAGGATAGTGTCATTTTGGCGGTTAAGGAATTCTTCCGGTCTGGTGTTATGCCGCCAGACGTAAATAACACTACTATTGTTTTGATTCTGAAAGTTCCTAACCCAGTTAAGATTACTGATTTCAGACCTATCAGTCTCTGTAATGTCATCTACAAAGTGGTTTCAAAGTGCATGGTTAACCGGCTCAGGCCGGTCCTTGATGGTATTATCTCTCCAACGCAAAGTGCGTTCATCCCGGGACGTATGATCACTGATAATTCTTTAATTGCGTTCGAGTGCATTCATCACATCAAGCAGGAAAAAGACCCCACAAAAAGTTTTTGTGCCTACAAATTAGATCTCTCAAAAGCTTATGATAGGGTGGATTGGGAGTACCTTAGGCAAATGATGCAAAAGCTTGGCTTCGCTCACCGTTGGGTTGATTGGATCATGTCTTGTGCGACCTCGGTGAGATACTCCGTAAAATTTAATGGAGCCATCTTGGATTCTTTTGCACCGTCGCGTGGGCTTCGGCAAGGTGATCCCTTATCTCCGTACTTGTTTCTCTTTGTGGCTGATGGTCTCTCTGCTCTATTTAACAAAGGCATTGATGATGGTGAATTATCCCCTATCAAAATTACGAGAAGAGCTCCATGTATATCTCATCTCTTGTTTGCGGATGATACTCTTTTGTTCTTCAAGGCAAATGGACAGCAAGCAAACTATGTCAAACAAATTCTTCACGTATATGGGCAAGCTACTGGACAACTTCTTAACCCTTCAAAATCTTCTATTCTCTTCGGGAGGTCTTGCCCGGCACCGGATATAGATTTGGTTAAATCTGAACTGGGGGTCACTACATCCGGTTTTGAGGAAAAATATTTGGGCTTGCCTACTCCTGATGGTAGGATGACTAAGGGGAAAATTCCAAAATTTGCAAGTGAAGCTCACTAAGCATTTGTTCTCCTTTGATGGGCACCCCACCCAAGCGGGGAAGGAAGTTTTGATAAAGTCTGTTGCTCAATCAATTCTCTCTTTTATTATGAGTGTTTTTAAGATTCCGCTGGGAGTTTGTGATGATCTAAATCGCATGGTGAGGAATTATTTTTGGGGTTCAGAAAAAGGTAAAAGGAAAACGCATTGGTATGCTTGGCATAAAATGACGAGGTCCAAAGCTCAAGGGGGGCTTGGTTTTAGAGATTTTCGTCTCCTTAATCAAGCTTTGTTGGCTAGGCAAGCTTGGCGATTGATTGTACATCCGAACAGCTTATGTGCAAGATTACTGAAAGCTAAGTACTATCCGAACGGGAGGCTTGATGATACTGTTTTCACTGGAAATCCATCACCAACTTGGCAAGCTGTTTGTCATGGTCTTGAACTCTTGAAAAAGGGTTTGGTTTGGAGGATTGCAAATGGGCAAAATGTAAGGATCTGGCGTGATCGTTGGCTGGTTCGTGGTGCCACAGGTTCTTTGCTTTCTCAAAGGGGAAGATGTCGTTATAAATGGGTGTCAGAATTACTTGATCATAATGGTAATTGGGACTTGACCCGTTTGAATCAGTTTTTCTTGTCGGTGGATGTCCAAGCTATTTGTCATATACGTCCATCTCCGCGGTTTGGGGAAGATTTCATTGCTTGGGAACCAGAGAAGAATGGCCAATTTACAGTACGGAGTGCGTACTGGCTAGCTACGGGTGAGCTCTATGATCCTTCTTTAGCTTCCACAAGCAACGCCCATGACGGGCATAGGGATGTTTGGAGCCTAATTTGGTCATGCCCAGCCCCACCTAAAGTTCTTTCTTTTGCTTGGCATGCTGCGACGAATTCTTTGACAACATGGAAAAATAAACAACGGAGGACTTTGGAGACTCGGGGTACATGCCCAGTTTGTGGGAGAGAGGATGAAGACATTTTTCATGTCTTATGTGCTTGTTATAATGCACGTCAGTTGTGGCGAGCTATGTTTCAAGTTTGGGCCCTTCCTGATGTTACCACAATTATGCGCCATGATGATTGGTTATTGCAGCTTACTTGTGATGTAGATAAGGCTATGCGAGTTCGTGTACCGATACTTTTTTGGAGACTATGGCATATCAGAAATGAGTTAGTGCATGACAAGCCGGCACCACCTACTGATGTTTCAGTCAGATTTTTATCAAGTTATCTTGATTCACTAACTTCACTCAACATGGATCCGAATGCAGATTTTGTGAAAGGAAAGATGGTGGCCAACCCCTGTTACCCATTGGTGCAGCACACATGCAATGATAATGTACTTGTGCCTAAAACATTCTGGATCCCTCTGGTCCTTGGGCGTGTTAAGCTTAATACGGATGGTTCGGTCCTCAATGGAATTGCGGGGACGGGTATGCTTCTTCAGGATCACCTTGGCGTTATTATTTTCAGCTATGCAGATTTCTGGGAGGAAGTGAGGATGTTTTGGAAACAGAAATTCTTGCGCTGCGGGAAGGGATTTCATTGGCTTTGCAGTGGAGTAATTTATCCATTGACGTTGAATCAGACTGTTTGGAGGCGGTGGCTATGGTGAAGAGTAGTGAAACAAATCTATCAAAATATTTTTTTTATTATCAGATAGATCAAGCAAAGTATGGAGGAACGTAACTCTTCTATTACTCATATACGTCGTAGTGGCAATAGTGCTAGTCATTCCATGGCAAACTTTGGTAGGGCTAATGGCCGAACTATGGTTTGGCTAGGGTCCGGCCCAGTGGAAGTCCTTAATGTTGCTTTACGAGATTGTACTTCCTAATTTTTGAGTAATAAAGAGTTATTTCGCAAAAAAAAACTCTCACTGACACCGTAGACCGGAGTGGCCCACATGTCAGTAAGCACTTGTCCAGCGTCCGGCTTCATCCAACCAGATAAGCTAGCTATGTTTCCCTCGTCTCCCCTCCACTGCTTCTCCCCCTCGACGGAGGACGGACAATCACAGAAAACGAAACACAGGCATCCATGGAGGTGGTGGGAGGGGTATCGCTGAGGCCGGCGCGGCTCCGGCACCTGACGCCCGGGGAGGCCAGCGCGGGCTCCTTCCTGCCGCGGAGGCTGCAGCTGGCACGGACCGCCGCGAGGCCAGCGAGGCGCGCGCTGGTGGTGGAGGCCCGCGGGGGCAGGGGCTGGTCGGACCGGCAGTCCCAGCAGCAGCGGCGCATGCCGCAGCTCCCCAAGATCGAGGACGACGGCAACCCCCGCTTCGTCATCTTCATCCGCACCGCCAATGTATATTCTTCCTCGATCGTATGTATGTACGTATATTATTACTTCCTTGTTGGTGAGTCAAGAAAGCCACCCGTGTTCCCCGCATGCAGGTGTACTTCTGGTACCCGCTCAACATCGTCACCGGCGGCACCACCGCCAAGATCATGCTCGCCGCCAAGGACAACTTCCTCGGCAAGTACATCTACAAGGACACCCTCGCCCGGAACCTCGCCACCGTCATTTACAAAGTATAAACCATCCATCATATGCTGTTTTCTTTCCGCATGCACTAGGAATCTAGCTAGCCGCTCGCGCCGTGTAGAAGCTGAGCGTTTTGTGTGTGTGCGTGGTGTGTGAAGGACGAGGACGACATAATCGACTTGGCGAAGGAGCAGTTCCGCGTGCTCAAGGGCGAAACCGAGTTCCGGTACGGCTACAAGATCGTGGTAATTCTCTCATCCTCGGCTGCGGAAGGGCGCGTCGTTTCGATAATGATATGCTCTGGTAGTACGTACGTACTAGCCTTTCATTCAAGGATCAAAATGGAGGTTGCGGTTTATATACTTGTTGTCGTCTGGCTGAGCAGGAGAAGGGGAACCTGAGGTCTGCACTGGCGACAAGCAACGTGCTCGAGGTACGTTTTCTCTCTAATGCTCTTCTACTCATCGCACAAATTAGGTAAGCCCTTGCATTTTTGCACTTGCTTTGATTTTGCCAACCCATTTGTATACTTTTTTGGCAAATTCTGATACATCTCTATTCCAAATGCATGCGTGCGGGCAGACCATGAGCAAACCAGGAAAATTAGATTGCCCAAGCTTTGCACATTAACTGGCATGCGCCATTTTTTTTGGTCATGAACATCCATTGGTAGGGTATAAATATGTGATATGAAACGACACACCAGATATAGAACCCCACCACCTTGGGAGATTTGTCATAAGCCAACACTCGCCATGTTTTACTTAAAAAAAAACGAACTCTGTTGCTCCTCTTTGCTATCTAAACTATCATGAACTATGAGTACATAGTGAATCTCAAAACAAAAATGAATGTCGAAAATCTCTATTGCAGAAGAGCTCAGCTCCCAATGAAAGAACATATTTCTTCTTCATCAGGATGGTAGGAAATGAATGTGTTGTGCACTAACAGCAAGAACATCATTTTTCTTCTTCATCTCAGCTCCCAAAGAAAGAAGAGCTCAAAAGTGTCGTTGACAAGGTGAGGGACTTCTTTGGTGAGGTAACCTCCGGTGCCAAAGAATCCTTTGCGCAGATAACAGGATCTGCCAGCGCAGCAGAGGCCGAAGCAGAAGCAAAAGCAGAAGACGAGAGGCCCCGCTCCAAGAGACGAGGAAGCAAGAGGAAAGGGAAGCAGCAGAAGCCCAAGCAAGGGTTCAGTAAGTAGAGACAATAACACATGTTAAATCTCACCCCAACTACTCGTTCCCCACTTTATAATCAAATCATCACACACAAAATTTCTTTTATCCCTGCAGAGCCCGAGAGCTGATTGGAAGCGTGGATCCAGTGGACCGCCGGCTGTACTTTTCCCAGAGCTGCTCTGTAGCACACCTGAGGCTTTTGAGTTTTGCAGCACACAATGTGTAACCTCCCTGTGGGTAACAACAAACTTTGTTCATTTCTCACAGAATATATATGATGTTAGGCAGCCCCGCGAAATCTTATAAATGAGCCAATTGATGTACTTACAGAACGGCAAAGATCACAGCTGTATATTGAATTTCAATCTTTGCAAGAGTTAACAGTTGTTGTATAGCGCGCATGGATGGGTATCACCTTATATGAGGTGGTATCTGAATTCAGTTGGAAATGTATTATGTGACAACACATGGAAATCATTGCTATATAGTACTTCCTCCGTCCAAAAATAAGTGCCAACTTTGTACGACACTTATTTTGGGACGGAGGGAGTATATGTCAAATATGCCAAGCAAATAAATTCACAACTAAAGCACAGATGATAAGGCTTGGAATGAATAAACAGGTTCATCACAGAAGAAAGATCCTTCAGCCTGATCTTCTGGGATATGAGTTCATAGTAATTCATACAAGACTTCCTCCTCCGCACGCTCAACAAAGCCAGGCACTGGTCATATACTCTAGGAGGCTAGCTGGAATAGGTCCAACAACCGGGCACAACCTTTGCTGGGCCAGAGCTCCCCAACAAGAACAGCAACTTTTACAGATCAATGACTCGGGATAGCTTCTGGATGCGGTTTAGCAAGAAGTCCCCTTGCTTGATGGTCGACTGGTAGAAAGCATTCCTCTCATCAGGCCGGTTTGTCTCCAGAACACCAGCGACCTTGTCAATCTTGCAGTGAAGCTTCCCAGCTGCAATAAAGCGAGAAAGTTCCCTACAACAAATGAAAGACAAAACATATGAATATGACAGCAGAAACTTCCCTACAACAAATGAAAGACAAAAAATATCAATACAACAGCAGAAACGAAAACGGGATGTATGTAAGGTGGATAGGAATGGACATAAAATTAGGCGGTTGTTTCACATCACTTACTGGTCTATGAAATCAACAGTCACACCAAATGCAGAAGCCATAGCTTCCATCGTCACACTCTTGTATGACTCCAAAAACTGTGAGTAGACAACAGTGCGCACTTCCCTCATGTAGTAGCGGAAATGAGGTTGAAGATAACGGTCTAACTTGATCTGTTCCGTCAAGCCAGCTGAAAATAATTATTTGACCAGGTATTAATACAAGCACATACAAATACGTTGCAGCTAAAAAACAATAATCACAAGACTGAACTGGAATATATATCTAGACTTACAGAATGCAACAAAAAATGACTTGTACTGGCAATTGTACAGAGAGTTGAGAAACTCTGAGAGGTGTGGTACTTTGCTAATCACTGCAAGGATTTCTGGTGCATCCACCACCTGGAAAGTTCCTTTTGTTAGAGATAACTATGACAAGAAAACATAACAGACGGAGCCATGTTGAAATACCTTTTGTTTTAGAGATACACGATCCAATGAGATGATACTTGTGAGGACTGTATAGAAGATGAAAGTGTCATATGGAAACAACTCATAGGTTGTGAAAGTTGAGATGGAGTCCAAAAACAGGCTGGTAGCTTTCTTGAAGTTTCTGGTTGCCATGCAGTATAAGCCTTCGTACACTTTCAATCTGTTCTTTCTCTCCCAGTCACCTCCCTCCTCAAACAACCTAAAATCAGTAGAGTAAGTGGTCAAATACCATCACTCTGGTGTTCCAAATAGCAGAATGGAACTCTACAGATGGATCAAGGGCTTACTTCTTTGCCTTATCAATGGATTTTGAGATGAGATCAAAATCCATGTAGAAAAGGCCAATTTGCAAAGTGTAGAACACAAGATCCATCTTCTGGCCAATGGCTACAGTTTTTCCTTCAGTAACTTTAAGTTGTTCCAGTGCTTTTTCCTACAACATTGATTTCAGATAATGTAAACAGCTATATTTAGAACTTGTACTTTGTTAACCAGGCCTCAGATATTATATTTTACAAGTAAACAAGTTCATACCTTCTCGCCAACCTTTACAAAGTACAAGGACTTGGCAAGATGGGCTTCACGCACTTCACTCTCGCCCAAATTCTCTTCAGCATCAGCAATTCTTCATACACAAAATAAAGTTTAGTTTAAAGGAACCAAATTGGTACTTATCAAACTTTACACCAGTGGAAACATTAGATACAGAATAACTGGGAAGAGCATCATGGATAATAAGAAACCAGCATAATTCCACTGAAACCAACGTGTTTTTCATGATTCGCTTCAGGAATACCCTGTGTACAATTCAAGATAACAAATAACAAATTATTTCCTTCATCCATCTCATCCAGAACATCGTATTCCATAGAAACTCCACTTACTCCTTAACAATGACTATTCAGCCTAAATCCCAAGCAATTTCACAATTATTTTTCCCCAGAGTTGTAAGGTTCTACCCTCTCGAGGTCTGGTGGTCAGTACTTCACACAGAGAGGGCTTGCACACAAGGCGCCGAACCATTGTGCCCTGCCTGACTGGTGGCCCGACGCGCACCACGGTGTTCCCAAGCTTCCCCGCAAAGGATTCGACAGCGCGGTTCTGCTCATCATATGGATGCTTTGGCTGGAGCGGAGCACCAGAGTATTCCATGCATCACCTTAGCTCGGCAGCCCAGCTGATTTGCAAGATCAAAGCTGAAGGTGAGCTCTGAATCAAAGCCGGAGCGAAAGGGTTTGCTTAGCATAGGGAGATAGCCTTGTACTAATCCTCTTAGGATTGTCTTCCCGGCAGCCCTAGATAGAAAGCCCCCTGCCGTTGTACAAGTCCCCATGGGTGACAAAACTCTGTAAATTCTCTTCTAATATATTGACAATCATAGCTTTTGCATGTTCGCAAAAAAAAAAGATTATACCCTTCCTTAATACTCAAATTACTCTTCTCAATGCTCAATTTTGCATTCTGAAAGAACTAGTTTCCTAATACTGATAATGGACACAGTTCTGACAGAAATACAGAACACAAACAGGCACAGTTCTCATACAAAATTAGGGAATACTCCCATTTGCTTCGTGGCCTTTGGAGGAGGGTAAACATTATAAGCAGTCTGCTATAAGACTCACTTCCTGCGTCCAAAACACGGAGTGCTAATTCATACATGGCCATCGCAAAGCAATTTACTGACAAGATCTATCGTCTACTTTTGACCACGTCTAGAACCCGTAGCACTAGGCTGGGCTCTACAAAAGAAAGTAAGCAGAACGAGAGGACAAACCCACTCACTTCTCATCGAGCTTGCGGATCTCCTCGTCGATCCTGGCGCGCATCTCGGAGAGCAGCACGGCATCCGGCTCCAGCACGCCCGCGGCGGCCAGCGACTCGAACAGTGGCGCCATGTCTGGCAATCAACCCCACGGCAAAAGACAGATCAGTTTAGCTGGCACACTGGATGAGCGGCGAGGGGGGCGGGACGGTGCGGTGCGGTACCATCGGATTTGACGGCCGAGAGGACGTCGGAGCGGAGGTCGACCTTGGAGAGGTCGTCGACGTCGGGGTGGGAGAGCAGGAAGAGCTTGTGGGCAAGCACCAGGTGCTTCTCCTGCTTCCCATCGTCGCCGCTTGTGCTTCCGCCGCCACCGCCGCCACCGCCGCCGCCGTCCATCTCGTCGCCGCTCGTTTGGGTTGGGGGCACTTCCGTCCGGTTGGTTCGCTTGGATCGCACGGCGTCGGGAGTTTCTCACAGGCCGTGGGTTAGTGGGGTTCGCTTGGTTCGCTTGGATCGCACGGCGTTAGGGGTTGGGCTTGTCCTTTTTGCAGGGGTTGGGCTTGGGCTTGTCGTTATAGGCGAAAGGGATAGATTCTGGGATGTGGCCCATTAGCTAGATTCTTTTTAGCCCGGCCCATTAACCTTAAAAAAAGTTACATTCTTTTAGCCGGCTTAGTCAAAAAAAAATTTAGCTGAAAGGCAGCGATCTCTGCCTTATATTCAAGGCGGCTGCTAGGAATCAGGCGGATGATTTCCTATAGAAAAATCATCTGCCTAATTAGTCGTCCGATCTGGCGCGCTGGTGGTCGTTGATCGCCGCAACACATCCCTTGTCTGTTCTTCTGTTCTTCTCTTGACTCCCATCCACACCACGCCTTCTCTGTAGAGAAACCAGCGGCGACTCTGAGAACTGATGCACCCCACAGTGGCACTTGTGTCAGTGACCTCGCAGCACTGGTGTCGCCGGCGAGCTGCAGCTCCAAGAGCCACCGGCGACTGTCGCATCACAACACCGGGAGCCACTGGGTGCTGCTCCATGGCGACACTGAGCACGGCAAAATGCTTCAACCCAGCACTGCCGACAGCCCAGCGAAGCTCCATTGCAGCCCCGGTGACCTCGGCGGCGCTCCATTGCAGCCCCGGCAACCCCGACAACGCTTCAACGCAGCACCAGCGACACTCTGCGAAGCTCCATTGTAGCCCCGGCGACCTTGGCGGCGCTTCAACGCAGCACGGGCGACACCCTGCGAAGCTCCATTGTAGCCCCGGCGACCTCGGCGGCGCTTCAACGCAGCACGGGCGACACCCTGCGAAGCTCCATTGTATCCCCGGCGATCTCGGCG